TTTTTATTTTTTATATTGCCTACATTTTTTTAATGCAAGGCTTATTATGGCTGATCTTTTTATTAATGCTCATAGGACCAGTGGTTAAACTCAATAAAGATAATCAGTTAAAACAGCGGGAGTATACACCCGCCTTATTGTTTTTATACCCTGAACAGGGTATATTAAGTTTGCCACGAAGTGCCCAGAAGGAAACGTTTTAGACCCTATAAAATATATACATAAATGATCAGCATGATGAGCTGAGTTCATTTAGCCATGTCCGTCTGTCTGTCTGTCCGTCTTTCTGTATATATACAAACTAGTCCCTCAATTTTTAAGCTATCGCTCTGAAATTTTTAAAATGTCCTTTTCTCACTGAGAAGCAGTTCATTTGTCGGAACGGCCGATATCGGACCAATTTAGCATATAGCTGCCATACAAACAATCGAAATCCAGTACTTGTGTGGGAAACTTTTTTATTTATACTTTTAGTGGTTTTCAACATAACCGTTATACAGGGAGTGGGCGTAGTTATTATCTCAGTGTATGAAGAGATGCTAAAAGGACTTTTTCTTTGGTTGACTTAGCTTCAGCGGTTTGGAAGATATATACATTATATAATTTTGGGGGTGGAGTTTTACAAACCCAGTTTTAAAAACTTTTTACCCACAGGTGTCGCTGGCTACTGAGATCTCCAGCACTAACTTACAGTTTTATATGTTAATTTAGTGCTTAGTTATTTCATTTTATAGGTTTTCGCTCAGGGCTATAAGTCGGATGAGGCAACATTTCCAAGCCGTTGTTTTTAAAATGTCAAGATGATCTTGCAACATGAGACCAAGCGTGATCATGATGGAAAATTACTGCCTCGCGTCTGGTCGCAAGTTCCCCATTAGTGGTTTCACCCGGTTTTAGAACCTCATAATACAGCACGCCCTGCTGATCCCACCAAGTACAGAGCATTGCCTTGGTGTCATGGATATTCGGCTTTGCTATTGATTGATGATTTTATGAGGTTTTCGTAATGGATTAATTTTTCATCACCAGTCACAGTCTGATGCAAAACCGAATTCTTTTTGTATCGGTAAATCTGTGAATTATCTTAATGAAATCCAGAAGGCATTTTTTTCTGGGTAACATTGTGGTCTGATGCCAAAAACGAATAATATCAATATCTCCCCTAGTTCTCATATGTACACCAAAAAAGATTTTTATTTTCGATTGACTTTAAAACGTTTATTTAAGTCAATATACCTATTGACTGAAATCATAAAATTAGGCATAAAGAAATATAAAGAAATGCATTCATTAGTATTTAAAAAAATTATGTTAAGCAGAAAATAATGAATTTGCGTCGACTCAGCTTTACAAGCTGATTGATATTGACAAATTTATAAAATCTTAAAATTTGTGGCTCACGAATCGTGCTACAAAAACAAACCGTTATAACTTTTTTTAATTAATGCATTACATTTATATATTTTTTTATTTTATAGCAAATTTTATTTTATATTGTATAATAATTTATTTTTAAAATAATGGACTGTAAAATACCTCCATGCTCAGCCACACATATGCGACATCTAATTAAAATATTACTCATTGCGGCTTGAAGGGTTAAAGTCGGGATTACTTCAATTGTCGATTCATTGGACTGCTTCAATTCATTCAGATCTCTGTAATTTGTTTTGTACACATCTGGCTTGTCATAACCCCATAAAAAAAGTCTGCTGCAATCAGGTCAGGTGACCTTGGAGGCCAGTGGAAAGTGGAGTTTCTTGATATTAATTTGTTTTCTAGTTCGCGTTGTAGTTTCGCAATAACCGGTCTGGCTATGTGTGCAGTTGCCCCAACTTGCTAGAACCAAACGCTGTTACAAGGTATACGTCTTCGGTGCCCATTGACAGTTACTGTTACACCGTTTCCTTAAAAAAAAGTATGATCCGACAATACACCTTGATAAAACTGCTCGCCACACAGTGTCTCGTTCTGGGTGAAGTTCCGTCTCGTAGATTCTTTCTGGATACGGCAAATTTGAATGTTTAATTCAGGTCAAAATGAGCCTCATCAGACATAGGCAGGCAATTCATCAAGTTATTGTCTTCTTCGACCATTTCAATAATTTTTTGGCAAAATTCCAGGCGAATAGACAATTCTAGAGAGTTTTAAACGGCTTGTTATTTGAACTTTGTATGGAAACAGATTTAAGTCATCATGAGTTATCCCTTGTAATGACCGTCTGCTAACTCCAAGTTGCGCCGAAAAGTTGCGAGTCGAAACTCTTGGATTTGCCCGAATTGACGATGCAACAGCCGCGATTGTTTCTTGAACGCGAACATATGGATATTGATGGCACGTACTTCTTGTGATACCTCCAAATTCGGCAAACATCATAGTGGTCCATCTACTCGGGAGAGTACCGGTAAAATCCCGTCTGAGTTCCCTTTGGACGGAAATCACGGACTGCAAAACCTCTTTCCTTAAATTCTTAAAACAGACACAATAAAATGGGGTGAAAGTAAATATTTTTTTTTTAAATTCATAAGGTGTTTAAAGAGCAACGATTTTTTTTAAAGTAAATTTTCAGTTGGAAAAGTTCGTAAATAAATAAACAGTAAAGTATACATATTTTCTTTAAATATGTTTAATGTATTTAAACTCCAAAATTCGGTAAATATAGTAGTTTCCTGATGTTGACATTTCTACCCGAGTCAATAGTTTTAAATAGGATAAAATACACAAACAGAAGATTGTGTGCCATTCGTAAAGTACGCTGCAAGCCACATAAAGATTTCTTGTAAAATTTCTATGAGTTTCTTAAAGCCCAATTGACAATTCTAACCGAAACTCTTGTATATATATACTGACGCTATGATAGCTGCGTAATAGGGGTGTGAGTGATTATACTGGTTAACAAATCTTCCAGAGCCTTGATGTTAACCGAAGATTTGTTCAACGTACTGTGGCTCGATTTAAGAAAAGTGTGAGTGTTAAAATATCAAAAAAACCTGATCGTCGTAATGGCCGAGTTTTGAAGTTACACGGTCAGAACACCAAGTCTGGTGAAGATTGTACGTCAGCGAAAAAGGAAAAGTTGTGTAATTTCTGGTAGGAAACTGGCTAAAGACCTCAGCGTGAGCCGTAAAACCATCAAAAACATTATTAATCAAAAATTGAGAATGAAGGCTTATAAGAAAATCCGAGTTCATGGTCTAACGGAACGAAAAAAGCAATTGAGAAGAAAAACACCATTTGCTCCTTCGGCGGCACAAAAATTGTGAGATTGTGTTTTCTGATAAGAAGCTTTTTGTGTTACAGGCAAGTCACAAAATGACCACGCTTATGCAACCAGCTGATAAAAGAGCTATTAAACGATATCAAAACACAACCTCCTTTATGGTTTGGGGAGCCATATCTGCAAAAGAAAACTCCCTCTCCTTTAGATTGACAAAGGTGTAAAAATTAACGCATAATATTCGCATTCAACAAGATTCTGCTTCCGCTCATAACGCAAGAATTGTTCAGCAGTGATGCAAAGACAATATGCCATGTTTCATTACAGCGGATGAATGGCCCCCTTCTTCCCCGGATTTGAATCGTTTGGATTTTTGTATACGGGGACATATGTAAGAAACATAAAATTGGACCAGTTTGAACCAGCTGTTTGCACAAAACGGGACGAAGTTTCAGAAAAAGTTGTGCGTGCCTTCTGTACTAGTTTGAAAAACCGTTTTTAAAGCAATGAAAGGCGAACGATTTGAATTAATACAGAGATAATGCAAGTGTATAGTTTAATTAATAAATAAAACAAGTTTTAATCCTATCTTTAATATAAATTTTTAATTTTTTGCGGAAAATTAGGTGCCACAGAGGGCCCAAGCTGCACCTCGGCCACTAAATAATACTTTGTGATTGAAAAAATTGACACGTCAGGTTTTCTGGTGACTTCAAAACATATAGTTTCTTAAAAGTAAAAACATCAGCTACATTTAGAGAAATATCGGTTAATATAGAAAAATTCATATAATTTTCGTGAATATTTGGCTTCTGGAAGGTGTCCTTTAAGTCTTTAACAATAATCTGCTAGCATTCCTGCGCTCCGTTTCCCTTGAAAGCGCTTCTCCTCTCCGCGTTTTGCTGATCATTCAATTTTTGGAATTTTTTAAAAGAAAATATTCAAAATTCGACGTCATTTGCGGCTCTCGGAAAAAAGGTGCCTCTAGAGATTTTTTAAAATTAAATAAGACAATAAAAAAAATCGTATGAAAAATAAGTGCGGTTCTTTTGATGTTGATAACTTAATAACTGTTTCAAATACTTCATCACGCTGACTTAGAATAATTACCGGATTAAAATCCTTATTTTCTGATCGATGTGGATGCTTTGGCACAGGCAGTTCGCCACTATGTAGGATTGGACTGTTGGTCGAAGACAAGTTTGGATTCTGGGTAGTGTGTTTGGACTTGGTTGTTATGCCTTTTATTAGAGTCACACAAAAATAACAATCACTTACATGATTCTTTAGTTCGGTCCTAATCATTAGTATAGCAACTGGCATATGTCTTTGTTGTTATATAGCCCAACCTATCTGTATTCTTCACAGACATATCGGTCAGTCTGTGATTTATAGTATTTTTATAAAATATATTAATTAATTTATTTACTTTTAATATTTAATAAATTTTAAATTTTTATTTATAATATATGATATTAAAGATAAATATATTCGGGAATAATATTTATGTGACAACAGCCTGCCCTTGTGTCATACACCTAATTTAAATATTTTCGAACGGTTGACTTTATACCGCATCTATCGGTAAATATGTAGGAAATCTTATTGACATTACGAAAAAAACCCTTTCTAATAATAGGGAATCTTCTTACCTGTGTTTTTTTTACAAAACAATTAAATCTTCCATTAAAAATTGTTGGGCCCTTTTAAAATAAAGTAATATTTATTATGTTTTCTTTTCATGTTTTTTTTTTAATTTTAGCGTTTTTATATTTATTTCTAGTGGCTGGACGAAACTATAATTAATTGGCTGAGGAAGATATTTAGTCATATATGCATACACTCGCAAACTCCTGAAACAAGTACTTCTAATATTATTAAAGGATTCAAAGTTAAATTAACATATTTTTTGTATGAAAATTTGGCTCTTAGCATTATTGAACAGTTTTTTAGTATAATCATTGGTAAGTACTAAAGCATATTAATAGCTTATGTTTTACGAAATTGTAAATATGATTTGGGATATTCTTTTGTCAAAGTATAAAATTTTCCAGGGACCGTTTATCTTTTGCAAATGGTCTGCTGAAATTTTGAAGTAAGTTATAGCTGCATCAGTTTCCGTTTAGCAGAACAATAATCCATTAGAAACGAGACACCCCCATAACATTGTTTAAGGGGATCGGATCATTTAAATTAAACTAGAAATATAAAGTAAGGAGGTTCTAAGTTCGGGTATAACCGAACATTTTATAATCTCGCAACTTTTAAGGATCAAAGCCCGCGGAATTACTTCCGGTGTTGGCAAAATTTTATATTAAAGGAAGTATTGATCCGATTCAACCCATTTGAATTCAAATTATATATCTTACACATTGACCGATATTTTCGGTAAAAAGTTCACTATAGGCACTGGGGTCCACATATTCAGTACCTAGGGGCTTGGACAGTTTCGATTTAGACAATTTTTTGTCACAAGGTGGCATACTTTAAACGCATTATTCACACAAAGGTTTACCCTGATACAATCATTGTTGCTTGATTTGCATAGTGGAAAGTATAGATTCAGATTTAATTCAAAATGGTGTTATATGGGAAATAGGCGTGGTTGCAATCAGATTTCGCCCATTTTTAACCTATAATGTAGAAATATGAGAAGAATGTTATGTACCGAATTTAGTTGGAATCGGTTAAGCAGATCTCAAGATATGTGTTTTAACCTAAAAGTGGGCGGTGCCCCGCCCACTGTCTAATTTTGAACGCGATTACTTTAAAGTCATCTCATACCATCCCAGAGATAAAATTTAATGTCTCTGACGTGTTTAGTGCTTGATTTATCGCGCTTTTAGTAGTTTTTAACAGTACCGTTTTGTGGGGAGTGGGCGGAATTGCCACCGGATTTCACTCATTTTCAGTTTGTCGATAGAGGTGCTAAAAGCGCTTGCTCTCAGTGAATTTTATTATTATAGCTTGAGCGGCTTAGGAGATAGGGACATTAAATCTATTTTTAGTGGTCCGATTACGCCCATCTTTAATACCACTTACGGTACCAAGAAACATGTGTACCAAGTTTCATAGAGATATCTCAATTTTTACTCAAGTTACAGCACAGACCGATGGACAGACGGACGGACGGACAGACATGCACCCGGATTTCAACTCGTCTCTTCATCCTGATTATTTATATATGCATAACCCTATATCTAACACGATTAGTTTTAGGTGAACAAAACTAGTATATTATACTTTGTACGATTTAAAATTTAATTAAATGTTGGAATTAAAAATTAGATTTTCATTTTTATCCCGATGTTGGGATTAAAAATTATATTTAATTTTTTAATACCGAAGTTTGATTAAGGATTACATTTTTTTATATTTTTTAATCCGGTATGTGGGTTTACAATTTTTATACTCTTGCTAAAGCTATAATAACGAAATTCACTGAGAACAAATGCTCGCAGACCTCTATCGTACTGTACTGTTAAAAACTACTAAAAGTGCGATAAATCAAGCATTAAACACGTCAGAGCCATTAAATTTTATGCGATGGTATGAGATAACATAAAGTAACCACGTTCAAAATTAGACAGTGGGCGTGGCACCGCCCACTTTTAGGTGAAAACCCATATCTTGGGATCTGTTTATCCGATTCCAACCAAATTCGGTACGTGACATTCTTCTCATACTTCTATGGTAAAATGGGCGAAATCGGACTACAACCACGCCTACTTCCCATGTAAAAATTTTAAATTCCATCTGATTCTTTCACTTTCCAGTATGCAAATCAAGCTCCAATGAATGTATCGGGATAAAAATTAGCATGAATAGTGCTTTTGAGTTGGGCGACCTTATTATCGAAAATATCGGTCAATCTGTGAGATATGTTATAGAAATTCGAAGAGAATCCTTTTCTGATAATAATATGCTAGTATGTCAAAAATGGATTGTATCGGGTCAATAATTCCTTTAGCCCCCATATACCTAATGGAATGATTTTCGAACTACTGGCTGACTTTATATCGCGTATTTCAGCAAATAAGTAAAATACCTAGGAAAAATTTACTGGAAGTATAATATTGGATATACTATAGTTTAATGCCGAAAATATGTGAAATTGGTACACAAATTACCCAAACTATCATATACTACATACCATATGCACCTGAAGGTATTTCCCTGGCAAGTTGCAAGAGTATGAAATGTTCGGTTACACCCGAACTTAGCACTTCCTTACTTGCCCTTTTTTTAACCCTCCGTGTTGTGGTGATTACAAAATAAAAAACAAAATTCAATTCAAATGTTAATTCAATTATTTTTTTAATGGATTATGATATTTGCAACCATGATTTCAACCAAATTTTTTACATACTATTTTTTTTAACATAAGTTAAAGGTTTTAGTTAGCATGGTTAGACTTATTCGATTTTGGTGAAATATTTAACGTGTTGTTCGATACCTTGTTGGCATTGTGAAGGTAATTTCAGAATGCCACCACTATCATAGAAATTGGGACAGTAGATTTTCGTAAGCTTCTCTTGTTTTTCACCAGCACAATCATTCGCCATAGACAGAAACAGGTAGAAGTAATCCCAAAGACCAAATACCCAGAGCTTCTGGCAAGTCACTATCGATATGTGTGGTATGGCGCTGTCGTAATGAAACAAAATTCCTCTTCAATTAGCTAGGGCTGACCACTTTTGGGCGAATGCTTCCATCAAAAGATTCAATTGTTTGCTAATACAGGCCAAAATTAAGAGTTGGACCATAAGAGAGCAGCTCATTGTAGATCATTTCTTGCCAATACCACCAATCGCATAGCAAAACGTTAATCCTGGCTTGACCACCGTTTGCGCGGCTCATCGTTTTTCGAACACGACGGTTTTTTGCTTGACGTTGATCACTAGTTATCATCTACTTCAGAAATGGATCGATTTTGCAGCGATTCGCACCTTCTTTTTATGTTCAACGTTATTGAAATGAAATAAGCTGTGAAATGACAGCAGGCCTCGACTCTTTCCATTATTTTATCGATATTGACGACAATCGGTCTTCTAGAGCGTGGAGCACCTTTGACATCAATATAACTAAAATGGAATTGCGCATGATTGACCGTTACACTATCAGAACAGTGAATGCTATTCATATTTTCAGCCGCCTGGCTTGCGTTTTCGCGTTTATGTAAGAAAAACTGTGAAATATGGCATATCTTCTCTATGTCGGCGTCTATCTTTGACGCGTGCTTAAACAATACGGAAGCAGTTAATCACAAGACTGTCTGAGTACGAAATCTTATCTTTCTATCGCCATATTGGGTAAATCAATCATACTCATACAACACGATATACAGGTTACTAAAGCCATCTATTTGAAAAATAATGTATTTTTTTTTTACTAAAGCTAATACTCGTATAACAATTTTAAATTCCATCTGATTCTTTCAGATTACTAAATATAAATCGAAGCCAATGGCTTTATCAAAATAAAACATTGCATAAAAAGACAATATCTCGTCTACAAATTTTCGAAATTGGACCATACATTTTCAAGCCCCCAGATCCCGAATATGTGGACCCCAATACCTATAGGTCAATTTGTTTGATGCTTTACTAAAATTATGTGTTTTCTTAACTATTAGTTGGGCTCTGCCCAGCAGTTATAAGGCCGATTATGACTTATGGTAAAATGGTATAGTGGCCAATAACGTAAAAGAAACACACGGTAAGACGTATGGAAAGTATACAAAGACCAGCCAGTATTTGCATCAGTGGAGCTTCCAGCCGAGCTAGGCGCTAAACGTAATCTTACACTTACTGCCACCAGACTTGTTTTGTAAGCAAATGGGAGCGAAGTCAGCATTTAGACTTAGAGGGAATAATCCCTACTTGTCGCCAGTAACAAGGGGCATCTATGATACTTAGAAAGTTCCCGTTTCTTCACATTACCACGGATTTTCGAAATCCTACAGCGGAGGTCACAGCAATAAAAGAAAGCTTTTTTTTCTGAACAGGAGTGTGCTTACAACGAGAAATATATTTACAAGTATTATATATACACAGACAGCCAGGTGGCTTTAAAATCACTGAAGTCTCTTAGTATTTCGTCTAAGTTAGTGAAAGAATGCCTGGGGCTCTAGTGGATCTAACATCCTATTTCACAATAAACCTGCAATGAATCCCAGGACATAGTGATATCCCCGGGAACTGTGTAGTAGGTGAACTAGCCAAAACAGGCACCACCCTACAACTAGAGTCTGAAAAAGAGGAAATATTTATGCCTCTGGCTACTTGTAGATATTTAATCTCGATGGAATTAATGCCTGACTTGCTCAACAGGCAGGCAAACGTGGCAGGATTGGAATATGGGCCGCACATGCCGACTAATAAAACTTGTCTTACTGATGAAGTTCATCAAAAGCACTGGATAGTTGAATATGAATGAGTTCGGTCTACACCCTAAACCTAATTTAATATAATGTGAATATTAATATGTTTATAGAACTGACTGATTATATTATAGTGATTACCTCGTAATTTCTTCGGCTAATGAATATTAAATTATTAATAGCAAAATTTTTATACCTGCAACATGTTGCTACAGGGTAAAAGAGTTGGTTCACCTAACGGCTGTTTGTATTGCCTAAAACTAATCATGATAGATATGGAGTTACAATTTGTCTTGACACAAACTCTGTTACGAAGTTTAAAATTATTTGTTATTATTTGTATGCAGTGGCTACTCATATAATAATCAGTTTAGTGTTTGCTTTCGCTTATTAACAAGCGCAATTGAAATTTATATGGACGACGGACATCCACCACCCAGCAGATCTTAAAAGGGTCAACCCAATCGGAAAACGAAAATCAATAAAGTATATTTGGAAATTAAATAAAATTAAAAGTATATATTGTAAAATGTGAAATTATAACAGAAACCTATGTATCGACTATCTTAAACAAAACAAAAT